ACCTTATTGGCTAAGGGAGGTGCCCATAAAACAGTGTTGGTAACATTCTTGAGGGAGAGGGCTTGCGTAGGCACTGTGGAACTCTCACCAACCTCATTGGCTAAGGGAAACGTACATGTCATTTGAGTTAGTATGGGATGGGTAAGTTAGGTATTTGTTTTGGGAGGAGTGATAGGGTGTGGTTAGTTAATGGTAGAATGGTTATTTTTTATTTTGTGTGGGATTGCTAGTAACGGCTGGGTATGTTAGGTTTTTGTTTTGGGAGGAGTGATAGGGTGTGGTTAGTTAATGGTAGAATGGTTATTTTTTTATTTTGTGTGGAATTGCTAGTAATGGCTGGGTACGTTAGGTTTTTATTTTGGGGGGATTGTTAGGGGGAGTGTTAGTGCAGGTTGAGTGGTTTAGTTATTTATTAATTTATTTATTTTTTATTTTTTTGTCAGAGTGGTCTTGAGTTTGAGTTGGTGGCGTGGGGTTTGGAGTGAGGGGAGAATTGGTCTTAAGTTAGGTTAGGTGGGAATCGTTGGGTGTGGGCTGAGGAGAGGTTAGGTTGATTTGGTTAGGTTGGGTGGGAATCGTTGGGTGAGGGTTAAGGAGAGGCTAGGTTTTAATTTGGGGGGAAATTGTTGGGTGTGGTTATAGGGAAGATATTAATACAAGGGAGGTGGGAGGGGAGTGTTTGGTCTGTTTAGTACTTAAAGATAGAAATTCTGAGGTGCAGGGATGAGGTCTAAATTGTCGAGTGACTGTGAGCGTGGTGGTGGTATGAGTGTTGTGTATGCAAGTGAGGGAAGGGCAGTTACGTGACTGTGTGTGGGGGAGTCGGGAGGTTGAGGGGAGTGTGCTAGGTTCGTGTCGGGGTTGATTTCTGTTTCCTTTGGGGTAGTGCCGTATAGGTTTACTTTGATTATTGATTTGGTTGGATGAGTGTATTGAATAATTTTTTTGCTGTCAGGTGTATAGGGAGAAAGGGGGGAGGTGTTCTTCCTCTTTGGTCTAGGGGTCTTGACCACTAGTTCTGTGGGGGGAAGGGCTGCCATTTTATTCTTGGGAGTCTGGGGTGTTAGGGGAGGATCGGGTTTGGTTTGGGTGTTCGTGGTCCGGGAGTTCAACGTAGTCAAGTGGGAGAAGTCGGGTGTAGGCAAGGTCGAGGTGGAGGGGCCGGTATGTTTTGGACTGATTACTTTGGGGGGTGAGGTAATGGTAGAATGGTGAGATAAGTCAGGTGTAGGCATGGCAGAAGTGGAGGGGAGGAGGGAGACAGTGGATTCTCTGGGGGGTGGGGGGGGCATGTTGGTACGGTCGGAGATGGGGGCAGTGGGGAAGATGAGGTCGGGACCGGTTCTGAAGGAGTCAGGAATGTTTATGGTAGGGAGGCCGTTAGCCTTCAAACCCTCAATTACGAGTTTTAGAAAAAGTGATCTGTTACCGTTGCTTAGGGTATGTGCCAGAAGTATGATGGTGGTGATTTTTGCGTCAGTGTCGGGGGAAGGGAGGGGGGCGGTCAGGTTGTTGGTCCAGCAAGTGCGGGTGGAGAGAGTCGTGGGAGTAGGGAGTGAGTGGTGGGGAGGAGGAGGAGGTGCAGTGTGAGGTGAGGGTCGGCGGGGAGGGAGAGGTGTTGTGCTGTTGTCGAGTCTGATTTGGCACTTGTTGCTGATGGCAGAGTGTGGGCCTTTACAATTACAGCATTTAGTACAGTGGCAGTGCAGTTTCTGTATGAGTGGCCTTGATTGGCACATTTTGAGCAGGTTAGTGAGTTACTGCAACGGTTGGTGGTATGTCCAAATTGGTAGCAGTTGTAGCATTGGTGGACTGGGATGTAGTGTTGGAATTCGATGTTATGTGAGGGGATGATGTTATTGCCGAATTTAATTCCGTTGGATTTTAATTTGATGGCGTCAGTTTGTGTAGCAGTAGTGATTTTTAACATGGGGAGAGTTCCCATCCGGGCTGCATATGTCATTTGGGAGGTGTTGTGTGTGTTGAGTTCTGTCAATAGGTTAGGGTTGTCAAGGATATGAGGGATGACTTTTCTACATATGAGGGTGCATTTTGCGCGGTATTCGGGTGAGCTGAGGACCGTTAAGCCATTGTCTTTTAGTTTTTTGTTCAATGCTGGGGAGTGGAATTGTTCGGCGTCTTCGTCATTCTGTACAAATATTTTAATAATGTCGTCATTGGTGAAGGAACGGATTTGGAAGATCAAAGTCAGCTGGAAAATAAGTGAGGCGAGGTCCGTGCACGGTTGGATGGTACGGTCCACTTTGAGTTTAATTGAAGGCATGTTAACTGTTTGAATTGGAGAGTTATGGAGATCTCCCCTAACAAATTGTCCCTAATTTCCTGCGCCCCTCACGTAGGGGAGGCCCTGCACTATCACAGAGGTCCCCAGGCGAATCGGCAGGCTGTGCTGACCCCCCGTCCTTCACACAAACACGCACTAGCGAGGTGTGGGGACAGAGGGCGTTTCCAGACGAATACTCCCCTGTACGTCAACTGACAGGGGAATAGGTCCTTTCACGGCACGGAAGATAAAGGTTAGAGTGGTAGAAAAAGGTCTGAAAACTTACTGCTGACTCTTTCTTCACACCAAGCCCCTCAGCAGCATTCGGGGTTCCTAAGGGAGGTCCGATACTGTAGGAGAGGCTCAATGTGTCGATTGAATCAACAGAATTGTCAGTTGGAGAATGGAGTCAGGTGCTTGTGATTTCCAAGGTTGGTGGGAAGGTGGGAGAGGTCCCAGAACTAGCGAATCAGCTATGTCCGTTTGATCTCCGGCTTCCCCGTCGCTCTGCGTGTCTGCTCTCTGTGGTGGTCCTGGCTCCAATGATGCGTGCAGATACGATACGAAGTCATTAGTTAAGAGGTGAAAGAAGATTATTAGGAATTGAAGAAAAAGTGGTGAAACTGAAATACAGTAGGAGTAGAAAGAATCTGGGCTCAACCAGATCGCTTCATCTTTCTTATTGGTGTTTTGTCTTTGTTCTGCTCCCTTGGGTCGTCAGACCTTTGTATTAATATTGGTTTATTTATATAATGCTGCTTATTATATTTTTATTTTGTTATTGTTGGAGTTAGTGAGCCCGCCCAGGTCCTTGTGTAACTGGGAGGGTAGTCACATTTTTTTTTTTCTAAGGTGTTAGTTAAGTGTTAGTTGTGTTAGTCTAAAGGTACACTGTATGGAGAGGCCTGCCAGGTTCTTAGTGGAGCTGGTAGGTCACTCTCATCTTTTATTCTCTCTATTAATGTTTTATGTGTATATGTATATTGGGGCAGGAGGTGGTTCAATTACTTCTTCCTGGCTGATGTAGCTGGGAGGGTAATCACATTATTATTGTTATTAATTTTATTATTATATATGGAGTTAGTGAGGCCGCAGGTCCTTGTGTAGCTGGGAGGGTAGTCTATTTTTTTTTTTTTTTTTTTTTTTTTTTTTACTGAAGATGTTAGTTAAATGTTAAATGTTAGTTATGTTAGTCTAAAGGTACACTGTATGGAGAGGCCTGCCAGGTTCTTAGTGGAGCTGGTAGGTCACTCTCATCTTTTATTCTCTCTATTAATGTTTTATGTGTATATTGGGGCAGGAGATGGTTCAATTACTTTCTTCCTGGCTGATTTAAACCAACTGTGTTCTTGGAATTCTTCGTTGTCTATATTATTTATCCAATTTTGATATGTTTCTGTGTTAAGTTCAGTCACTTTTTTCCAAATATTTGCAGCTTTGTTGTGTATATCTACATTGATTGCTAAGAGGTTTGCTCTCTTGTGTAGCTGTTCATTATTGATGTGGTCTGTATATTTTATGTTATATATAAATCTGAGGGCTATATTTTGTACTGTTTGTAACCTTTTAATGCACGTTTTACTAAGGGTGTTCAATGGGATAGTGGGTAGTCCATAATTGATTTGAACAAGGGCAATATAAATCTTTCTTTTGTTATTAATGCTAAGGTTCTTAAAGCGTTTTTTGATAATCTTATTATTCTTGCCTGTCGTTCTTTATCTTTTAAGTATGTTATATATCCTCTTTTGTTAGTTTAATCCAGCATCCTATCCCCCAGACAAAGCCTTACATAAATACTACAAATCTCTAGAACCAAATCAAACATACCCAACCTCTGTGACATCCACTCTCATAAAATCGACCTAACTCAAGATTGAAACCAACCAACCTATAACTCATTCTCATCTCCGTTCATAATTTGGCAAAAAAGCTCAAATCTGTCTCCTGCTATTACTAAAACTCTCCTACGATTCGCTCATCCGTCCTTACTACGAATACTTTGACATTTCAAGGTCAAAGATTCAAAACTCTTCCTCCAACTCGCTCCGTTCCTCTTTGACATAGCTCAAAGACTTTACCTTCTTCTTTCTCCAAACAACCCTACGACTAGCTTCATTTTCATTTTCACCTTCCCTGTTACTTACCGTGTGTGCCTGTGCGTCCGTCCACCTGCGCTTCTCTGCTTGTGCCGCCGCCGTGGCGGGGCGCCAACTTCCTCCACTTTGCCAACACTGCTGGAGCTAAGACGACAACCGGAGCACCCGCGTTGGCCCTTTGCCTGCCCGATCCTGCTCCCGCCCCACCTCTGCCTCGACCTGATTGAGATTGTTACACCATCCGGGCACATTGCCTACCCCCTCACGCAAGCGGTGTTTAGCCACTGCACCTATTCTCTCCTTCTAAAATTCACTTTAATCCTCCCTTTATCCTTCCCCTGAACCTCTTTCCCCCTGTCACTAGCTTTTATTCATTCATTCATTTGGGATGTGATGTAATTTTAAGTTAAAATTAGAATAAGAGTCAGAGAGTAGAAAGGACAACGAATGAGAGAACTTGGTGGGCGTGGTTTAAACTTGGTGATTCCTGATTGGTTAGTTTACGAGAGCTGACGTGTTTTTCACTCGCTAGCTTATAAATATGAGCGCTGATTTTTTTTTTACCATTCATCACGTTATTGCTAATCTGATCGAACCAAAACTCTAGACTCCTAGTTGTCATGTCTGGCCGCGGACAAGTAAACCGGAATAGGCCTCGCAAGACTGCCTCTCATCGTGCGGGCCTGCAGTTTCCTGTGGGTAGGATTCATCGTTACCTCAAGGCTAGCCTGTTCAAACAGCGTCTTAGTTTCCAATCGTCTGTGTACCTGGCAGCAGTACTCGAGTACCTCTGTGCCGAAATCCTTGAACTTTCGGGCAACTTGGTATTAGAAAGCAAGAAGGTTCGCATCACCCCGCGTCACATCTTGCTCGCTGTCCGCCACGACACTGAGCTTAGCCAAATGCTGGAAGATGTGACCATACCTGAGGGGGGAGTTGTGCCTCACATCCAACCCGTTCTTCTGCCCAAGAAACAATCCGCCTTCAAAGAGAAATAATTGGATGGCCACAGCAAAGTACTGCACTGTCGTCTTCCTCTGTGAAGTAAAAATGAAAAACCAGAAAAAAAAATAACATTACAAAAATAAAGACAAAATTCGAAAACTAAAACTTAAAAAAAAAGCCCCAAATGGGGCGCACACATATAAAGAGAAAAGATAGATAAATAAAATAAATTATCTATTGATGTTTCAGGTATACGTATTATTGTTCCTACGAGACATTATTTTGTTTCTTTATATTATTGGAACCAATATAATATTCATCAATAAATCAAACATCTATAAAAACAGTAAAGAGTAATATTGTTAAATTATATAAACCAATACAATTTAACTTTGAATTTGGTACTTTCAAGTATTCGGTATTTTAGGTTGGAGTTGGACATTGCGAAGTAAAGTTTAATATATATGACTGACAGTGCAACAGATATTGATATTTTTTTCTTGCATACTTAAACGTGATTGGTGGATTTCAGTTCAAAATTTTACTGTTTTCACAATACAGTATTCAACCAATCAAATTATTGCTTTGTCTGTTCCGACCGTTAATATTTTGTTGCAATGCCCAGGCACCCATGTCAGCACTATATTCTTGGCACACGCATGTAGTTTATTAATAATGTTGTCCTCTACCTCATTGCTGGGTCTTAAGGTAATGGCGCTAAATCCAACCTTTAATCTTAACTCTCCTTCCTTGCCACCTAACCAGAAGTCCTAAGGAATCGATCAAAACAAATCTAACCAACTCCCTTAACCCACGACATAAAAATTTTTTACAATGGTGTCAAATACTCTGAGACTCTACTGCAACCTATTGCTTTCTAAACGCAGTTTCAGGTCTTCCCCCAAAACGCAACGTAAATAACCTAGTATTGAAATTAAATGATGCTCCTATTAAAATTCCGACCTCAATAAAATTTATCGGTATTCATTGTGACCGGAAATTAACGTGAAAAACAAACAAACACATTAACTAGCTTGAAAGTACATGCCTAAAAATCACAATCATCCTGAAAGTTTTCTCAGGCACTACATGGGGAGCTGATAGGAAATCTTTATTAATGGTGTATAAGACCTTGATCAGATCGAAACTCGACTATGGATGTCAGCTGTAAGCATCGGCATGCGACACCACACTCGCAAAGCTGACAAGAATAAAGAACCGATGCCTTCATTTATGTCTGAGTGCCTACAGGTGTACACGTATAGAAAGACTGGAGGTAGAGGCTCACGTCCCCCCACTACACTTCAGGAGGGATATGTTGACGTTAAGATACGGGCTGACTGTGACTAGGAGCCACCGGAGGAGTCAGCACTCTCTAACCCTCTCTCACCATGAACGGTTACGAGTTTGATAACGTGGCGCGGATACGTCCGGATACGCCGACCTGCCCCAAGAAATTAAACCTCCTAGTTCTCAAGAAGTTCTTTGAAACTAATGAGATCATGAGGGTCACCAAGGTGGAACGACTGAAGCTCCATGGTGACATCAAGATCACCTTCGACGAGATCCCAGACATCAACGGCATTGCGGCGTATGTATCTTTAAATAATTTAGTTAAATATCGTTCACGTCAGAAACGGTCATTATGAATAAACTCATTTAGAAAAACATCATTACTCAGGACGAAATCGGATGGGTTTGCAACAGCCAATCAGCTGTAACTCTTGAGGAGGGGGCGGGGCATCTTTTCTCAGCTGGGGAAAAAACGCGTTTTTTTTCTAGGCTTAATCATATATTATAGTGGATAAACGGAACAAGTGGCAGAGGAGAGTCTTAAATCGTGGTTGTGTCTTTCAATGTTGCTATTTGGTAAACGTGTTATATAAGGGTATGTTTTAATAATGAATTCTCTCTCGCTATCTACCACCCACCGACCATGGCACTGTAAATAAAATGTGTATTTCTTTTTTTTTTATATATATAAACGAACTGTTCTGACGTTAAGGACGTTACTCTACTCCTCCTTGAAGTAAATTTTTCAAGTCTAATTTAGGATTTTCCAAGGGAAAAATGTGAAGTATCGCCCCAGCCGAAAGCTACTTATTCAAGCACTGTGATTGGTCAGTATGGCATCGCGCCAAGCTGACCAATCACAGCCAGTGGAGCAGGAGACTTTGAGGTGACAGGTCCACCGCGTACTGTACCAACCCGGGGAGATACTTTTTTTCATATTTACCGTAATTGATGACTTACGCTCTAACTCAGAATACGCAATGAAGATTTGACTTAGTGAAGCGTATTACTACATAACAACACCAATATCCTTTCAGTCTTTGTTTATCTAGACGAAAGGTTCCCAATTTTAGCAAACTCCCTTCCCGATGGCTGTATCCGTATAGTCTTTTCTTACTTCCACTCTCCTTCATACTAGCTAACAACAGTGCACTCGTGTTGGTCCAGGCCGCAATATCACGAGGAATCACACGAAACATATTTTTACCCAACATTTTTTTTTATTTTACCCAAACAAAAAGGACATCAATTCATACCGTTCAATACTAAGGCGACTTTACTACAAAATTGATATATAATTTTGGTAACTTTTTCACTACAGGTACACCATTTTCTAATTTACGAACACCAAACGACCTTATTCAGCTCAGAGGGAAACCCGTACACAAAAGATTAATATCCACTTAACATTATCTTATCAACTTGAGTAAGACACCAAGATATAATATCCCTTAACTTAATCATAGAAAAAAAAAAACATTGAAGCATTTACCTCATAAAACAAAAAAAGAATGTGACAATATTCATGAGTTACTGAGTTATTAGTCTGAGCTTTCCTTCCCATTAATTTTTTTAAAAGCGCAGCTGCAATATTACAGACCTTTACTTTTACATTTATTCTCTTCATAACTGTATAGGTCCCATTCCTTGGCCGTCCGCCAGACCTTGTGCCAGGGTGCTGGTATCCATTTCGAAGACGTTGATAGATACGTTCCACCGTTGTGTCCGCCATGGGAGAACCCCAACTTCCATGTGGAAACATCGTGGCTTCCAGGAGGGAAGAATGACCTTCATCCTGAGCTCCTGAAGCAACTTTTCTATCAATTTCTAGAAGGATATAGCGCCTATACTCACGTGTACACAGACGGGTCCAGGACAGACGACAACGTTGGGGCCGGAATCTGGAGCAGAGACGGGGGGTGGGGGGGGGTGGAGCTTCCTCCTGCCGCGGCATACAACCATATTCACTGCAGAGTTGTTTGCAATAAATAGAGCCATTAGTATTGCAATAACAAACGATGATTTCAGACTCTATGTCCGCTCTTAAAGCAATTCAAAGTGGTGACACTACCAGCAATGAGGTACAGGACAACATCATTAATAAACTACATGAGTGTGCCAAGAATATAGTGCTGACATGGGTGCCTGGGCATTGCAACATTCGGGGCAATGAACAGGCAGACAAATTAGCAAAAGCGTCTGTGGGTCTCAGGGAGACAACCAATATACC